AAGCACAGTGTCGGACCGACCGGGTTTCTTTGGGTTGGGGCGGCCCCCAGCGAACTCGAGCGAACTCGGGTGGGGGCCAATGTTCCCTTCAGCTATCTCACAAACGCCGCGCAGCAGTTTTGAGTATCCACGCAGCAAATTTCCATGTAAGTGTGTGTTTGTGTTTATGGGCTGTAAAATTTTGCACACACAAAAATTGATGCTGTAAAACTTTGCACACAACTGTATGATTTTGCACACGAACAAGCAAACCTTAGAGGGAACATTGGTGGGGGCTGTCCTAGCAAAGGGACATCGCGGCACTGATACCGGCCTTAGGGGGGTACTTTGGGGAGGGCATAAGTAATAAGGAGCATTAGCTCGACGGCCCGCTGACGCCATTGCTTAATGTTATATTTATTAATGTGATATTGGTTGGAAAGTCAGTTTTAGTAACTTTAGTTAAATATCAATAATAATATTGGGACAAAACTAATATTTGTTTTAAAGGAAACAACTTCAAATGTTGAATTTAGTTTTTAAGTATGCCTAAAAATTGAAAGCGCTTGTACTGAATGCGTCTTAAATGATCAAGAATTGTGTTTATAGTAGCAGTGTTTTTTTTTTTTAAAGTCGGCTAAGTTATTGTGGATTCTGCAAACTTTTACCGAAACAACTTTTGACTTTTCTGCCAGAATCTTTTGAGCTAAGTTTATCATGCTTCTGTTTTTTAGTTGCTCTGAAGAAGGCTCTCAGTGGATGAGTCCGTTGTGTTTATTTAATTATAGCGTGTTCTGTCTAAGTCCCATCGCTCAACTTGAACGCTGTCTTAGCAAACCGGGAGATTCTTTTCCATTCCAATAAGTCAATATTTAATTGTGATGGCCCCAAAATGTTATCAATTATTCTAATGAAAATAAAGACGCCCATGAAAGGTAGGCTGGCAGCTGATATCAAAACTTTCTGTCACGGTTCTTTTGTCGGGTGTCCGACATTCTTTTTACGTAACACGATTTGTCACCACTGTCACCGCTGTCACCACTTTCACCACTGTCACCGCTGTCATCACTGTCACCACTGTCACCGCTGTCACCGCTGTCATCACTGTCACCACTGTCACCGCGGTCACCACTTTCACCGCTGTCACCGCTGTCACCACTTTCACCGCTGTCACCGCTGTCACCACTGTCACCGCTGTCACCACTGGAACCACTGTCACCACTGTCATCACTGTAACCGCTGTCACCACTGTCAACGCTGTCACCACTGTCAACGCTGTCACCACTGTCACCACTTTCACCGCTGTCACCACTGTCATCACTGTCACCGCTGTCACCACTGTCACCGCTGTCATCACTGTCACCACTGGAACCACTGTCACCACTGTCACCACTGTCACTGCTGTCACTGCTGTCACCGCTGTCACCGCTGTCACACTGTCACCGATGTGAGTGGGGGGAAAAAATCACAGAAACCGAGTGGATGTCCATTCTCACAAATCGCTCCTAAAAAATAATGCTGAAGACAGATCAGCCAAGTTTAAATGTTTTAAATTTTTTTTTTTTAAACAGACGAAAGTAGCAGCTGCAGTTTACCAGCCACCCCCCCCCCCACACACACACACTCACACCCAAACCGAAACTTTATTTTATTAATAGATTTTGTTATCCCAAACAGTTCAAGCATCTTTATTACAAGTCAGTTCATTTACTGTTCGTTTGATTTGTTCTTTCATTTACTGTTCGTTTGATTTGTTATTTCATATAAAGAATATTTATATTATGAAATCAGATTTAAAAATATACACAAAGCACTTTGAGATATAAAAGTTTTATTCCAGTCAGAGATTCTAGAATAAGTTCAATGTTGCCGTATTCCACAATATAAGATCCACTGTCCAGTTCATATCCACCATTATTTAAGTGGAGTAAACAAATCCCAATTGATAAATCCGGGTAAGCGCGTCACGCTTGATTTGAAAGCATGTATAACCTCTAGAGACTGGTAATGAAGGAAGTCCTGGGAACCGTTCATGTTTATGAAATCTATTTAAAAAAAAAAAAATCCATCATGATTTATTTAACGTGGAATTATTTCCATTCCCTTGTTTTCCTTTCATGGCAGGTGTTGACAAAATGTGGATGTTGTATTGATATTAGCACTGTATTTCGACTATGCGGCCATGTTGAGTTTTTTGTTGTTAAGGGCTGGTTCGTTTATTTGACAAGAATTTAATAAATAAAATGTTTCTACTCACCAGCTGGTCCGTTGGGGTCCTTAAAGCTATGAAGCGAAGGTTTTGAAGATATCCCTGGACATTAAACCCTCTGATAAACATGATTTGTTAAAATATTTTTTTTACATGTTGTGTTTATGCCACAATGGTTGAATAACAAATGGAAACCATTGCTAAATCATGTTGAAAATGCTGTGCTGTAATGGAAACCATTGCTAAATCATGTTGAAAATGCTGTGCTGTAATGGAAACCATTGCTAAATCATGTTGAAAATGTTGTGCTGTAATGGAAACCATTGCTAAATCATGTTGAAAATGTTGTGCTGTAATGGAAACCATTGCTAAATCATGTTGAAAATGCTGTGCTGTAATGGAAACCATTGCTAAATCATGTTGAAAATGTTTTGCTGTAATGGAAACCATTGCTAAATCATGTTGAAAATGCTGTGCTGTAATGGAAACCATTGCTAAATCATGTTGAAAATACTGTGCTGTAATGGAAACCATTGCTAAATCATGTTGAAAATGCTGTGCTGTAATGGAAACCATTGCTAAATCATGTTGAAAATGCTGAGCTGTAATGGAAACCATTGCTAAATCATGTTGAAAATGCTGTGCTGTAATGGAAACCATTGCTAAATCATGTTGAAAATGCTGTGCTGTAATGGAAACCATTGCTAAATCATGTTGAAAATGCTGTGCTGTAATGGAAACCATTGCTAAATCATGTTGAAAATGCTGTGCTGTAATGGAAACCATTGCTAAATCATGTTGAAAATGCTGTGCTGTAATGGAAACCATTGCTAAATCATGTTGAAAATGCTGTGCTGTAATGGAAACCATTGCTAAATCATATTGAAAATGCTGTGCTGTAATGGAAACCATTACTAAATCATGTTGAAAATGATGTGCTGTAAATTAAATATGAGTTTTGTCAGCAGAGGCACTGATGAGTTGAACATTTCACCACTTCATGCTGATGGCAGGAGAATCAGTGATTGGCATGTTGTTATACATTGAAACAAACACAGACTGGACCAGGGATGTTTCAAATACGTCGTTTTAAGAATTGAATAATATCATGCATGCATGTACTGGTTAACCTCGATAATTTGGTTCTCATTCCATCTGCCACAAAAGAGAGACACATTGGGGAAGGGGGCAGGGAAGAAGCAAATTCTGTTTGCACCCTACTCTGCTGGGAAAACTATTATTTTGACAACCTACTCTGGTGGCATATGATTCTGTGGTGGAGCTGGTGGTCCACCCGGGTTTGCACTTGTTTCTTTTTATTGGGATACGGGTGACAAAAATATTGGCTCATCCCGTGTTGCACAAACCCCAGTTACGCCACTGTCGAGTCCGATTAGTCTAAAATCTGAAACTTCTCATGGCTGCCGCACTTTCAATATTTTAGTTTTCAGATGAACAGATAATGTTGTCGCGTTAACTCTATGTGAATGCGAGAGTGAGGGAGTGAGAGAGAGAGAGAGAGAGAGAGAGTGAGAGAGAGAACAATGCTTTTATATGTTTTACGCTACTGATGCCCCCACAAAACAAAAGGTAGGCCCAGGGGCGTGGCGTTGGAATTACGGAGGGGGCGGACTGCTGTGGGCGGCACTTTTTTTATATTGGGGCGGCAAAAAAAAAGTTGGCACCAACCTTAGCTATAATACGCCATTGGTTAGGCTGACAGGTCATCGAATCCCTCTCCCCCCCCCCCTCTCTTATTCCTGTTTTGCTGCATGTCATTATTTTTTTTTTCATCTCTGTGTTCACCCGTCTCTCCCCCTCATATCAATATATTCCCGTTCCATCGAACACCACCAACCGAGACGTCCTAAATCAGCCGATTGATAGTCCGGGACGACATGTGTGTCCAGGGTTGTTTGGGTTGGTCTTATCCATAAGAATTTCACATACACTCGAAATGAAATTAACAACTATGAAGGACTAGATCTATATTATTGTGCATCTAATTCAATGATTAATCTATTTGAGAACAATGGATCTGATTTAGCTTTTTTTTTTTTTTTAAATTTTAAAAAAGGATACAGTTTAGGGCCTCACGGAGGGGTCTCAAAAGGATACAGTTTAGGGCCTCACGGAGGGGTCTCAAAAGGATACATCGGAATTTAGATCAAGGCTGCCAAATAATAAACTGTTACAAATTGCATTCATGATTCATATAAAACTTACAATTTTTTTCCCAATAATTTTTGATCTTCTTAATTTTTTAAATTATAACTTATGGTGTAATTATTTTAACAAGAGTCATCAAAACTTTGTATGGTATGTGTAGAGTCGTGCGAAGAATAGGGGGGGGGGGTCACCCGCTTTGGGCGCCAACTTGAAAGGCCCCCAAAGACACCATTGCATCCAAATTAAGTTTTAATATACATATATATAAATATATATATATATATATATATATTTCATTATATGTATACTATATAAAGAAGATGGCGGCCAGATTTAAACTCTGCCTTGGGCTCAGTTTTGTTTATCTACCACGGCAATGAGTGTACACAGCTGCTCAAGTCTAAATTTTGTTACTGTTTGTTTGTATGTACAGTTTTCTTATTCGTCAATGTCACTGCCCTACCTATCATCAACAAAACCTTACCTCTCGTGCGCGAGGTAAAAAGATGAAAGAGAAGGTAAAAAAAACACAACAACAAAAGTGTAGGCTACCATTACACTATTTTTATTAGTTTGATGTTATCATAAAGTGTGGACATTTTAAATAAGTTATATATTTTTTTATAATGTCTTTAAAATTCTTAGGTGGCAAGGCGTTTGGAGAGTACATGGCAAAGTGGGAGTCACAGTTGGACGAAATCAATAAGGTAATGAAATGTCATCAACTCTTTATCTTTGTGTGAAACTGCCTTCCTAACATTTTCCGTTCCATCAGATTGTTAAAGAAATGCCTACCTAAGCTTTGAAGAAAGAGTTTGGAATGTAACATGTTTACTGATTTATTTCCAGGAATTCCTAGACGACGAGTTTTACAAAGATGACGAGGAGTTATCATTTAAACTAACTGAATATAAGGGTAGGCAATTCATTATATTCAACTTTGAAACGTTATTACAATTTTATTAACTCCCATATAATTTTTTTTTTTTTTAAAAGCAATTAATATTTTCAAAAATTAGTTTCATGTCATACAAATAAAACACATAATTTGGCCTAGTTTAGAAATCTATTTTAAATTAATTTTTTTTTTCTCTTTCAGCAAAATTCATTGAATGTGATCAAGATCTTTCTGGTGATCTTAGTAAGTTTTTTGCTTTATTGTTTATACAGAAATATTTTGAATTGATCAAAGTGACAAAATTGACAGTTTGGAGAGAACATGCAAAATTAACATCCTTTTAATAAATGAGTTTTAATTATATTAATAATTTTGTGTTGTAACTAATCAAATAGTTACTGAATTTATATTCAAGCTCTGAATTATTTTATTTTACGGCTTAATAAATACATTTTTATTTGTTACTAAATAATATCTTACTATTTTAAAATTATCCCAATAACCTAAATATGAATAGCCAATATATGAAGATTTTACAATAAGGCTTCAGAATCATTTACTATTTGTTAACAACATACATTGAAATCTGGAAATAAAAAAACTTGAAATAGTTGACAAATGTTCTAAATCAACCTGGCAATGAACAATTTCTTAACATTGTTTGAAACTGCAAATATCACCATCCCAGTTTTTAGCTGAACCTTTCTTAGCTTAGTTTTGTTATCTTTCCCAACTCTGTATTTTATATTTCATGCTGCAAATAACTTTTTTCTGGGACAAAGGGTTTGCGTAATTTCCAGGTGTCATGGAATATTTATAATGACACATACAAGTGGTCAAAAAATTGTGTACCAAAAGAAGTACAATCTTTACTTCAGATGTCATGGATGTGAAGTACCTGCTCCAGAAACTAGGACAAGCCAAGACTCACCTTGAGGTGATGAACATGATCAAAGAGGTCGACTCCACTCACAAGGATGCCATCAACTACAGGGATTTTGTGAAGATGATGCTGGGAGCAAAGTCAAGCATCCTAAAAATGTAAACACACTTTTTAAAAAAATTTATTCTCAATCCTATACATTTTAAAGAGGATAAATTTCAATCAGGTACACTGTCATTAATGTTTAGGCCCTACCAAATTTAATGGGATAAGTCAATTTGACTTGAGAAACAAAAGTTCAATAGATTCCAATTCAAAAATTTTTAAAAATTAAATGCATTAACTTGATATCCATTACATGAATAAGTTTTAAGAACAGAACCAATAGGAACAAAAGAATAATAAAAATTAAAAGAAAGTGACCCTGAAAGTTGAGCACAAGTTATTTGCAAAGTGGAAGAGACATCAGTGTTAATCCTGTTAATCCTATTAATCCTATTTATTAAATCTGAGATCACAGATCGATTAGGAAGATTTTAATTTTAATATTTTCCCTTTTTTTTTAATTTGATCACATTAGTACTAATGAATTATAAAATGCACAAAATTAGTTTTTTTATGAGAAAAGTATAAAAACAAAAATAATTAAACTCAGACTTTATTAATGAAACAAAAAATGCTGAATTAGAGGAATTATTTAATTAATTTTTACAATTAATTTTCTTAAAGTATAATATCAATAAATACCTTTGTGAATTTTTATTTAAAATTTTTTTTTTTTTCATTTTTATCTAAACATTATTAAGAAAGTGTTTGTCATTTGTCCACAGAATTCTCCTGTTTGAAGGTCTGGGCAAAGCAAAAGAAAAGCCTAAAGGACTTCCACCAAAGAGAGATCTTTCCAGCTTACCATAAACATTTAAAAGCACATTCTTAACTTACAGAAGCAGTATTAATGTTTTTTCATAATTTTGAATTTAGAAAAGAACTGGAAGATGTAAAATACAAAAAAAAAGAAAAAGAAAGGCAAAATAAAAGGCTTATCATTGTTTGGAATAAAACAATTGTATTAAGTTTATCAGACAAAATTTCTTATATATATGATATTAATATTTAATCTGCTTTGAACAAACTTAAAAATAAAAACAAAAATGAAATAAGATCTATGGCCAAACTTCCAGAACAATTTTTTACCTAAAAACCTTTCTTCACATTGATCTAAAATGCATTCAATGTTTGTTTTAAGTCAGTTTATTCTTAGACCAAGATTCAATTAATTTTAAAAATCATTTTGGGAAAACTTTTTTCCTATGTAGAATTTGATTTCTCATTCCAATGAAACAATTTGTAATCAAATGAAATGAGGAAACTGTGACTAGTTTTTCTTGTGCATCAAATGTTTGCACGTCTCTTCAAAGTTCAACTCTATGCCAAGCTTTAATTTCAAATAAAGTTTTAATATGAAGGTAACCATTTTCATCTTTTCTAAGAAATCATTTAATCAACTTAAAATAGTAAAATAAGACAGTTCTAAAAAATTTAACATTATTTACAATTTAAATATATTAATTCATTTATGTTCAGCTTTTTCATGAATAAAAAGATTCTTTTGTTGTTGCTAGGAGTATGTGACGACTTAAAAGCTATGATTATAAGTGTGATTATATGACAAAGTGTAAGTGCACTTTTGATAGATGAATTGACTCATCTTAGTCCCAGCTACCAAAGTGTATCATCTACTAAAGTATGTCTGACTTCTTGGATCAGTGTGTGAAATATAATGCAATTGTTGGCTTGTTTAATCTGTATTATTCATATGTCACATTATATATGTAATAAATGTAAGTGTATATTTTCATCCACATAGTCAAAGAGATGCTTTACTTTTGATATTATCATGTTATGTGTAAACAAAGAAACAACCAGCCAAACAATAATATGTTATGTCATGATTTATTTTTTTTTGAAGACTTATTACTTTTTTGTTATTTATTAAAAGAAAATTATCTGAATAAATGTTTGAGTTAATTTGCATTGTTTTAATTCCAAGTCTCCTTTCATTTCCATTGATAAAAGGTGTTAAAATGGTGTCTTTTCATTTCCAGTGGTGGAGGGCATTAACCAAAAAGTGTCTTTTCATTTCCAGTGGTAGAGGGCATTAACCAAAAAATGTCTTTCCATTTCCAGTGGTAGAGGGCATTAACCAAAAAGTGTATTTTCATTTTCAGTGGTAGAGGGCATCAACCAAAAAGTGCCTTTTCATTTCCAGTGGTAGAGGGCATTAACCAAAAAGTTTATTTTCATTTCCAGTGGTGGAGGGCATCAACCAAAAAGTGTCTTTTCATTTCCAGTGGTGGAGGGCATTAACCAAAAAGGGTCTTTTCATTTCCATTCAAAAAAAAATGCGTGCAAATAGGTGGCAAAGATTATTTACTATTCTAACACTAAAAAAAGAAAAGCAGTTGAGCATTTCATAAATACAGGCTAAATATTTGATTTAAAATACCCTGTTATTCATGAACCTAAATTGGCACATTTAAAGAAAACACAAACACTTTTGATTTAATCAATATGATATTTTTATTTATTTACTTTTTGCGACTTCACAAAGTTTAAAGACTTAACCCAATACCTCATAATAGTAGCCTACAAACACCCTGAAACCACACACCCAGTAGCCTACAAACACCCTGAAACCACACACCCAGTAGCCTACAAACACCCTGAAACCACACACCCAGTAGCCTACAAACACCCTGAAACCACACACCCAGTAGCCTACAAACACCCTGAAACCACAC